GAAAACTGAGTTCAATGCCAGAGAGTCCCTCAAGCTCCTTGGGGAGTCAGTGGCGATAGAACCAGGAACCAGGGCCCCTTTTCAGGAAGCAACCCCTAAAATGTATTTCTCCTTCCCCTTCAAGGTGTACCCTATTGATACCTAGAGATAGAACATATTGATAAATCAATATAACACATAGTAAGCTGCTCAATAAATATTTTTTCAATAAATGAATACAGAATAGTTCTCTCTATGTAATATCTACCCAATATTTATATAGCTGCTGTATGCCTGGTGGGTATTAGCCAAGAGACAGAACTACCCTGGTGGCTGTCAGAATATTATCAAAGAAATGAACACACATTCTCTTGTTTAATTCTCACTACAACCCTATGAGGCAGGTATTTTTAATCCTCATTTTACAGATTCAGAAACTGAAGAATAGGGAGGCTAAGTGTCCAAGATCCAAAAGTTAATAACAGCAGAAGAGAGCTTCAAAGCTTGAGCAGATTGAGACCAGAGCTCACAATAGAGCCCACTTACTCCATCAGAAAAGGCAACCCCAAGCATCACTTGGGTCCCAGGTTAGACCCTTAGGGATTTGTCATTAAACTGAAGCACTGCCCCAGAAGAGCACATGGGAGAGGCTTCATGGAAGGGAATTCAGGAAATCTGTCTTATTGTTGCTGTGGGACTTTGATAATACAATCTGACTCTCTGGGCCTCAGTTTCCATATCTGTAAAATGAAGTTAAGAATATATTCTGGCCTGGCTGGGCGTGGCTCAGCAGTTGAGCGTCAACCTAGGATCCAGGCCTTTGGGGTTCGATTCCTGGTCAGGGCACATGCCCGGGTTGAGGGCTCGATCCCGTTGGGGGCATGCAGGGGGTGGCCGATCAGTGACTCTCTCATCATTGATGTTTCTATCTCTCCCTCTCCTTTCCTCTCTCTGAAATCAATAAAGATATATTTAAAAAAAAGAAAAGAAAAAGAATATATTCTGGCCCAGCTAGCGTGGCTCAGTGGTTGAGCGTCGACCTATGATCCAGGAGATCGAGGTTCGATTCCCGATCAGGGCACATGCCCGGGGTTGTGGGCTCGATCCCCAGTAGGAGGCGTGCAGGAGGCAGTGGATCAATGACTCTCATCATTGATGTTTCTATCTCTCTTTCCCTCTCCCTACCTCTCTCTGAAATCAATAAAAACATTTTTTACAAAAGAATATATTCTGAAGAGTTTTGGGGAGAGGACCATGATGACCTAGGGAAAAGAAACTGAGAGGTCCTTCCAAGAGAATGGAGGTTCTGTGCTCCCTGGGGGATGATGGGAAACACTGTTGGAACTTTGAGAACAGGGAATGTTAAGTTAGTGTGGGCATTCTTAGATGGGTGTGTTTCCTCTTCAAACATTACATTATAGTCCATTATAATCCATAATTTCTACCCGAAAGTGGGTGACTCCAAGCCGTGTTCCTCTTCCTGTGAACCAGTGGTTCTGCGGTAGGCAATTAGACAGGCATGAGCAGAGCAAGGACAATGGGTCAGGTACAGAAGTTCACTAGGGTGGAAAGCCCCGGTGCCCAGCAACAGGAAAAACTGGGAACACAAGGACCTCGCCCCCAGGGTAACCCTTCCTTTCCTAGCCTATCACTGGTCATTTGGTTTAGACCCCCTGACCTTTCATATGGCTAGTCATGCGGTTCAGACCCTCCCCTGACCTTTCCTCCCCTGGCATGCCCCTAGTCACTCCATAGGTTCCCTTGAAGGAGGAACAAGGGGCAGAAGAGTGGCCTCTTGTGATTCCAATGAGGGCCCTTGCACAACCACTCCCTTAAGCATTAACCCCCAGGGATAACATGGAGGCCTCAGTTGTGTTTCAGCTTCAGGCCCAGAAAAGCAGCAAAACCAGACAAGCAACACCTTGGCTGACATCAGGACCAGCTGCATTGGATAATGACCCCCTGCCCTGGAGCCCAGCAATCAGTGGAGACCACAACCCTGAAAGGACACCCCTGGAAAGCTGATGAATATTCTATTGAGATCCTCCCCTGGGACCTCCCCTAAAACTCTGCCCTTGAAAGCTCTGAGGATGGAGGACCCAGCTCAGCTCTATGGAGCCTGCCTGCACCTTTCCCCACCCCATTCCCCAGGTGGGTCTTCCTGGCCTCTCTCTTTCTCCTAAGCTCCAAGGGCCTCTGTAACTTGTTTCCTGAGCCCATTTCTTCTAACACTCACATCTACCTCTGTGACTTTCTAAATAAACTTTCTCTTATAGTGTGAGTCTTGGCTCTGAATCCTTTTTTAGCCAGAACTCAAGTACTGAGGTTTCTGAACTGAGGTCCAGTCTGACTCCACCTGGTCTAACACCTGGTGCCCTTTTCACTGCCCACAGCTTTGACCCCACCAGGGCTGCTTAAACTTGGCTGGCATGTTGAGATCACCTGGGAGTTTTCACATGCAGATGACAGGCTCCGCTCCCAGAGACCCTGATTTGGGCTGTGGCGGAGGCACTGGGAATGCTAAGATTTTAATGTGCAACCCAAGTTGAGAACCACTGCCCAGAGCTTTAAATTATTCAATTTTGGTCTAAAAATTAAAAAAGAAAATAAACAAAAAGTGGCAGCATCACTTCACTGTGCATAAACTTCAATATGCAAACAAACGCATCACGCGGAGATCTTACAAATGCAGCCTTTAGTTCAGGAGGTCAGGGGTGGGCCTGGGCCTCTGTCCTTGTGGGAAGCTCCCAGGGGTTGCCCACAGTGCTGTCCCCACGCTGAACTTGCGTAGCCAGGCTGCCACTTGAATACCGACTCTCATGAGAAGCACGGCTCTTCAGGCCAGCTGGGCACTTAAGGAAGAAGTTATTTCACTTCTGTGAGTCTCCGTTTTCTGACCAATACAAAACGCAGGCAAGTAATAGTATTCACATCACAGAATTCTTGTGATGCTTCAATGAGATAATGCAGTAAACGTGTTTCGCACAAGACAACAAATGTTAGCTTTCTAATCATTAGGATCGCCAACACTCATGAAATGCTTACTTACTAACTGCCAGGAATTTTCAAAGTGCTTTGTGTCTTAACTCATTCAAGCCCCCAAACAACACTGTGAGGTGGGTACTATTATTTCATCATCCCTATTTTACAGATAAAGAAACTGAGGCGCAGAAAGGTAGAGCACCTTAATCTACCTTACACACCTAGGTGTAACTAAGCTGGTGTTTGACCCTAGAGAGAATGTGGGCTATCCCTCCCTCCCCGGGCCTGAAATGGATCCTCGGGAAAGGCACTTCTGCCCCGCAGCCTTTCTGGAGGTCAGGAATTTGGCGTTTACCGCCTGGGACGGGCCGGGACCAGCAGGTGGCAGGCCAGGGCTATGTGGGTGCTGTGCATTTCACCAGCAGCCCCAGCGAGCTCTTAAGCGTTTCCAGCTCCCCTCTCCCCTCCACCCTCAGGTCCTCTCAGGAGGCAGCCCCGGGAGCAATGCAGACAGAACATCCCTGCCCAACAGGTTCAAATCTGAGCTCCCCGGGATACGACTCCGTACGCCCCGAAAGCAACGGGCGCAGTGAGTTTTCTGCAATTCCCTTTCACCGCAGAAGCGCCACCAGACCGCGAAATCTACACCTCTCTCTTTATACCAGGGTTCGAGAAGGTTTCGGAGCCCAGGCAAGAGGGAAAAAGTTGGGAATTCCTGCGGGATTCCCCAGAGCATTCGGGAGGCGCCGGGGCCGGTGCACGCGCGCGGGAGATGCGGCCCAGCGCGGGGAAACTCTATGGGGGTTACCTCGGCGAGGCGGACGGGGTTTTGCCGGGCGGTCCTCTAGGAGGGGGCAAATGAATGCGAGGGGCAGT